CAATAGAATGTCTCACTCTCATTCTCCTCATCTGATGGATCACTGAGATTTATCTGTCCTTTCTAACTTTACACTCAAATCTACTCTCTATGTTCTCCACTAATTCCCAACCTAAAAACCTCCAGTATCCGAAGTACTGATGCTTAAGTTTCACATCTGAATCACTCAGAAACTTGTTAAGCAATAATTGCTGATCCCAGCTCCCAGTCTTTATGATTCAGTAGGTTTGAATGTGGGCCCAAATTCCTAGAAACAAATTCCTAGAAAATACTGGTGTTTCCAGATGAGCGATCACACTTTGAAAACCTTGCAGTAATTTCTCAATTGGTGGTTAGCATCAGGATATAGTCATTGTCATCTACTCCCACCTTAGTCAGAATTTTCAGTACAGTGGGACAGGGAGGCATGTTTTGGCTTAGAAAATCTTAGCTAAGAAACATAACCAAAATTATTTACTCCAGCATCTAGACTCCACCTTTTTCCCAAGCCTTATTCCCCACACGTCCTGTAGCTTTCTATTCTGCTCCCAAGTCCCATGAAACAAGTAGTCTGATGACTAAGAACTTTGCTCCCCCCTCTCAACCCCACATTTCAGTTATTCATTTATATGTGTAGTCAATCGCTGAGCATCAATGTGAGCCAGGCACTGCACTGCAGGCAGGTAGAATAGAATGAATAAAGTGGGTGTAGCTCTGTCTCATAGAACCCATCTTTTTTTATTTTAAGCTCTCCTAGAATCCTCTGCTTCCTGTCTCATGGGTTGTACACAAAAATACCGGCTCGGTGTTTTATTCTCATGTCCGCTGTTAATTGCATGAAGGCAGTAGGTGACTCCATGTCCCACTGTATTAAAAATCCTGATTCAGTTGGAAGTAGATGACAAAGATTATGTATTGATGCTAAACACCAATTGAGAAATTACTCCAAGGTATAACCTCAGAGTGTGATCTCGTGTCTAGAAAGATCAGCATTTTCTAACAGTTTGTTATGTGGGGCCCCATTCAAGATTAAACTGAAAAAACTCTTCTCCTGACCTAACTCTTTTCCAAAATCATCACCAGAACCCTCTCAACCCTCTATCTTTCCTGACCAGTTACAGTTCCCCTGGACACAGAACTAGTTCTGACTTCCATAGTCTTCTAACCCATAGATTTTTAACTCAATACTTAAATTCTTTATTGCATTTTGGTTACAAATCTTTGTGATCTGACAAAACTGTGAGCTTTTCAATGGTAAGGACCATTTCATTTTTGATTTATTAACATCTATACTTCATACATAGCTTGATATGCAGAAGGAACTTAATGAATTAATCAATTGTGTTTTTCTGAGGTTTTGCTGTCAATGTTATTTCTTGAAATAGGTACTTGTATGTTGTCCAGGCTGACCTTAAGCTCCTGAGCACCTGTGGCCCTCCTGCCTCAGCCTTCTGGGTAGCTAGGACTGCAGATGCACACCACCACACCTGGCTCAATTCTGGTTTACTTAAACCTGCTTTGCAGTGTTTTCAAAATTCCTTGGGTTTTAATGAAATCTTAAGATCATTTCACTTCTCTACCATAGGAAGATATCTAATTCAAATTCCATACACTGTGGATTATGCACAATACAGTATTTAGGGTAAAATGTTTCTCCAGGGTGTAGTTGGAATCCTTAAAGAGAAGGCGGTATATGACCTTTTGGATTAGCTGCTACATTCTTGATGCAAAGTTGTGAGTTGAGATTTTAGTTCCATCTTAAACTTTCCGTCCCAGGCAAGTAAGTTACCTGATCTTTCTGCAACTCAGACCTCTAATTTATATACTGAACAAAAGGCATGGTTTTTAGTCTACCTTAAATTTGAATAGCAACAATTAGGATGCTACTTAATTAATTAAATACATTTGAAACTCATCAGACAATGTCTTAACATGGAGAGGTATCTGAAAAAGAAATAGATGGTTACACTATAAAATATATAGAATTGAAATCTTAGTGTATTATGCCATGCACACTGTAAACCCTCAATGCATATTTATGGGATGAAAGAAACAATACAACTGCTTGGTGATTTTACTTAAGTCTGAAAGCAATGACTTCTTTCATGACTGAGAATGACCAGAGACTCACACACTACAGCCTCCTCTAGGGGCCATGGTTCCATTTTGTGATGATGGAGCCAGTACCAAGTGACTCTGAAGGTGAACACAGTCTATTACGTAGGTCAGATGGCATTGCAAGTGTTCAGAGAAATCCTGCCACGACATACAAGCATGACTGCTAGCCACACAATTCACAGTTAAACAGAAGCTGTGACATATCACCTTAATATGCTTCTTCCCATCAAATGAGAGAAGTTGTAAGTTTCTCTCTCTCTCTCTCTCTCTCTCCTCCTTGTCCTCCTTGTCCTCCTCGTCCTACTCATCCTTCTCTCCCTTCCCTTTCCCCTTCCCCTTCTCCTTTCCCTTCTCCTTCTCCTTCTCCTTCTCCTTTTCCTTCTCCTTCTATTCTTCAAATAGCATCTCACTATTTAGCTCGGGCTGGCTTTGAATTAGCAGTGATCTTCATGCCTCAGCTTCCCAAGTGCTGGGATTACAGGTGTGTGTGTGTGTGTGTGTGTGTGTGTGTGTGTGTGCACGCGCATGCACACACATGCGCATGCTTCACTATGTTTGGCTATAAATTTATTTCTAAATGAAAGCTTGATTATATAAAATTTGCAAAAATCCAAGATCACCATTCTATGGACCAGTGGAGTCTTCCTTAAAATGATCTTACATGTTTTAAAACTGTATTATAACATATAATCTTCAAGCATGCATGTGGGCTTTGGGAAATAAAAGATAAGAATTTATTACCAACTTAATTTTCTACTTGGTATACTGGATATCTGCATATGAAATGGATACCTTGGAAAGCCCACACTATTCCCACAATTATTTATTAGAAACAATGTTCATTTTATGTAACAAAAAGAACAGTTAATGAAGTTTATGTATCATTGGAACAGATAATTTTTCAAGGCTATGTTCTTAGCCTTCAAGATGAAGTACTTGCCTGTGGGAGCAGAGAGTCTTGGGGGCAGGACACCCCAGATAACCTCACCCCCACACACTTCTTGAACAATGATTTTCTGTATGTAAACAGAAAATGGAAAGGAGTATATGGTTTTTGTTCTTAGTATTAAATAGCTGGCTTTTCTTCAGTGCACTCCTAAATTTCTGCACAATACACAGCCTTCAGCACCCTCAAGGAGCATAAGCAAAGCATATCAGGCAAGTTCACCTACTCCCACTTCATAGAACAATGCTTGTTGTTAACTAAGCAATTCCCAGAGCAGATTTATGATTCCTGGAGCTCAGAGTGAGTACACAGGTTGAGTTTTGGAATCTGGGGTTAGAAGCACATGACTGTGCTCATTCCCCAAGGCTTTTACAAAACACAACAACGTGACCTAAAGTTTGTGCCTGCATGTACACCAGAGACCATTAAGGCATTCGCAAAAATTAAAGCATACTAAGGTCTCAAGGCAGTTTATCATTCATGCTACAATGTTTAACTTTTTCTTTCTTGTGGCTACAGATTTTCTCTGGTGAATAAGTATGTACTGAATCAAGTAAGATGGATCAATTACATACATAATATGTCTTCTGTATAAGAAACTGATAAGGTAGCAAATTAGAGAGCAAAATTTAAAACTACATTGTCATTTCTGAAAATAATTATAACTATGATCATTTTCCTCTATTCATAGACATTAAATTTTTATAAGATAAAATTTGTAATATACGTACTTAACAGAAAATGTTGTAGCTTCAATTGGAACCATAAGTAATTTAAAATTAAAAGACACAAAGTTATGTGAGAAGGCTTCCTTCCCCTTGCCTTTCAGGGAATATTATGGTGAGGGTTACACCCCATTGGTTTACATTGTGATATAAACACACAATGCAATATTTGAGAACAGCTCCTTCTCCTTGCATCTGGCTCTTTATGAAGGTGAAGTAGGTTATCATTTCCATGGCTATTAGTACGATTATTATCCAGTATAAAAGTCTCTGTTTCAGACCCAAATGCCCACAAATGGGTAGCAGGGCCAAGTGGGTGAATTAGTCCCCACAAATAGCCCCATCCTACCCACTGCCTGTCTAGTAAATAAAGCTCCACTACACACACACACACACACACACACACACACACAAAGTATGAAATAACTGAAATCGATCACTGTTATTTTACTGATTTATAGTTACCTGTTAAATGTTAGAACTGAGTCAGAAAAAGAAAAATAATATATAATATGTAATATGATAATATGTAATAATAATAATATTATAACTTATTATATATCATTATGTAACTTTGAAGACATTTGGGAATATCTTAATCCATAACTTAACTACTAATTAGTATAAATAATACTTTGTAAATACAGTGTATCTCAGGCAGAATGAGACTGCTGATAGGTCACTGAAGGTGTTGAGTCCTTTCACATGCTGTGGACGATTCAAGGGCTGGCTTGTAACTCCATTTGATTTCATGGAAAACGGCCTATGGTCTCCAAACAATTATTAAATTTCTGTTGTTGAGGAAAATTAGTTTACCAAATTTACAAAGAAGTTCTAGTATTTTAAGTTCACATAAATAGATTTTTAACATCAACCATACAGTTTAAAAAATTAAAGTACAATTGAAAACAACAATTTTTAAAGAAGACCAATACTATAGAGGCATAATAGGGTCTCAAAAACACTCATAGAATCACAAGGCTTTTGTTGTTTTTGTTGTTGCTGTTGTTTTGTTTTTATAAAATAATAGCAGAGTTAGGAAATTCTGGGTCAGAAGTTGGAGGTTGATAAAAATCCACAGTCTTCATTTCTGACATGAATGAGAAACAACACAAATGCCTGATCCACCTTGTCTGTCAGCTAGAGAGGAAATTCTTGTCTAACACCTACACGTGGAAAGTCACTGCAAAGTAGATGAGTGAGAATAAAACAACAAAAAGAATAGTCCCCTACCCGTTGCTTCCTACTGAGTGAACTTTTGACATATCAGCAAACTCTTCTTTCCGCTTGCTGCTGCTGGCGTACTGCTCAGTGTACAGCTTGAGGGACATCTGCTCGACAGCATCCCTCTGTGCTTCCAGGTAGCAGAGCTGCACCTCGGTCTGGGGAGAGACAAAAAGGAGCTTCTGTTTGAATCTGGGAGGAAAGCATCTCGAGTGAGGGGTAACAACTCAAAAGATGAGAGACGTTCACATGGCTAGACTGCTCTTTTCAGGTTGGATTTAATGGGATCAACTGGGTGTATTACAGAATTATATTTTATATTTGAATCTGAAAGTTCTTTCTTAAAATATGACCCAAATAAATGAACTCCCAGAAGAGTCAGTAAATATTACAAAATATCTCTGAGAATATAATTCTATAGAAGACTTCATATAAAAACTTGGTGAAGTTCTTTAATGTTCTTCTTCACAATGTCACATATGTACCATTTATCTTTTAAAGATCCACTTCCAACCCATATATTACCATATATAATATACATTTATACTAAATGCACTTCTGTTTTATTTCCTAAGTGAGGTAAAAGCTGGTATTAATTCTAACACCCCTTCAACAATTGAATAGAATTCCTTTCTTACCTTTTTTGAGTTCTTTGCATTTTTGTGTTAATAATTTTAAGTCAAAGACATAGTGTTTTTTTGCTTAAGTACAGGCTTGAATTATTAAATCTTTCATAATTTCTTGGGGCTCATTGTAAAGGAGTGGTAAGTTCACGATCCTGTTTTCCATCAAACAAAGTCCAAAAGAATGCTGAATAATACTTGGCATGAAAATGTACTGAATAGATACTTCATTTATAGCAGCCATTACAATCCCTGAGTCTTTAAGGCTCCCTAGAACACCAGATAAGGAAAGTCTCCTCAGGGGCATGCATAACTGTGGTAACAGGACCAGAACAATGCTGAGTTCACATATTTGTAAACCTAAGGAATCTTCTTTTAGTGTGCTTCACAAAATCCAAGCATATTCATTAACATTTATGATAAACCTTAAAAGAACTATTCCATAATTTTATTGGTACAGTCTCCTAAGAAAAGCAATTTTGGTCAGGTGTTGAGTAATCACTTTATTTCTAGAACACACAAGAACAGTCACATCAGACATCACCTAGTCTTCTTAATATCCATAGTCAACTAAAGCCTTTTACCTGATCTCCTACTTTACATACTTGACTATGGAGAAAAAGAGAATCTTATCAAGAGGCACTTGTTTGAAAGATCAAATTAGGACTCTGCAAAGAAAATGAATAGTTTATGAACAATAAGGTCTAAAAACTTTTAGAATTTCCATGTTGCTGCTTTTCCCAAGCAGCTAGTTACGAATGTTCTAGATTGACAAGGAAGAACTGAAAGAAACAATGCTACTATTATTGTAGTTGCGTAACTGAAGTTTGAGAAAACAGTTCAAAGTTGTATGTAGTATGTTAACTTCTCTGAATTATTCTTTCTCAAACCAATTGGCTTGAATAAAAAGATACACAATTGGATTAAGTATTATGACAGGGCTGGATATGGTGCCCTATAATCCCAGCACTCTGGAAGGCTGAGGCAGGAGGAGCATAAATTCAAGCCCAACCTAAGCAATTTAGCAATTTAGAGAGACCCTGACTCAAAATTTAAAAAAATAAAGGACTGGGTATATATCTCAGTGCAAAGACCCTTGGTTCAATCTTCGGTATCAAAGAAGAGTTATACTAAACATAAGCATATATTTAAAAAGACAAAGATGAATAGAGAAAATTGATAATAAGGAAAACAAGAACACAGCCTTTAAAAGAGCATACAAATTATTATGTGATTAACAAATTATTATGTGGCACAATAGATACTGAACAATCAATGAACTTTAAAACAGCATCCCTAAAATCACCTCCTCCCTTCTTCTGCAAAGCAACAAACACAAGGAAGCAGCTATCCTGTGGAATAGTGCATATAGGCTGTTAGGGACATATTGATAGGCACAGGTTTCTGTTAGTCTTTAACCATTCAAAGTAACATGCTGGACAATGGCTTCTTCTGAGTAATGATCTCACTAATGTCTGCTACTGGTCACAGAAAGTATTATAAAGAGGGAAATAATATGGACCCTTTACTACTATAGTAAAATAATAAATATTCATCTCTTTTGATCCTCAGCCATTTCTGTGGACAAAATGAAACACCTCTCGTATGACAAGGAGATGTGGAGTTCATAGAACAGAACCGAGAACAACTTGCAAGATAATTAATCACCTTACAAAAATGATTGAAATGTTGTAATGTAAGACTTTTATTACATAGTATTTCACAGACACTTGGCCTAGAAACTTCCCTGCACTAACAAGGAGATGAATTAGATGGCCCAGGTCACTCCTATTTATCTCCTATATCTCTGCTTTGAGTGATTCATTCCTAAACATGCTTATAAAAACAGAACCAAAGAAGTGCTTTCTGCTAAGGTTGAATGGTTTTGTCAGTCTAAATCTCTCTTCAGACCATCTTAAATTTGTCTTATGCTATACATTGGTCCAATGATAAATTTTTAGAACAACTGGAAGAAAATACAGTTTTAAAAAAACAGTAACACAATTTCCTTACTTAAAGTAAATTTACTATCATTTATGATAATAGTATGTGCTTTTAAAAGTAACTGTATTTTACATAAAGAAATTTAGCCTGATGAATTTTACTTATTTATTTATTTACTATTATTATTATTATTATTATTATTATTATTATTATTATTATTTTGTAGAACCAGGGACTGAACTCAGGCCCTTGCATTTGCCAGGCAAGCACTTATTCTACTGTGTCATCTACCTGGCAGCCTGATGAATTTTAAACGTCTTATCATTAGGATTTGACCACTTATTCATTAAAGAAAACATAAAAACAGCAAGACACTAATCTATGTACTGTTCTGTTCCAGTTTGCTGAGAGGGCCATGATATCATCAATTAGAGTACTAATATAAAAAGAGAAAACTGGAAAAATGGAAGAGATGAGCTAGATTTGAGTCTTTTAGTTTGAGGTACTGTTGGAATAATCAGAGCAAGATGTTCAGCAAGTATGTTGAACTATTAGAACTGAAACACAAACCTAGAGGCAGTAGTTGAAATTAGAGGAAAAGTGAATGTCATTGGAAAAGTCTACAGTGAGAAGAGAAAGAACATCAGTTCTCACTGTGTTTTAAGCCTACATTACATGTTAGCTGGCACAGTGCAATTGATTCTCAGTAACTCTATGTCCTCCTATGGTACAATCTCCAGATTCATCTCATATATTGTTCTTTGATTGATCCTAGTGTATCACAGCCGAGATCACTGGAATGTTGGAGTTTGATTCTGAGTCTCCTTTCTTTATAATCTCTGCTTTTTTGTTTTGTTTTGTTTTTTGAGACAGGGTACCCCTGTGCCATTCAGCCTGGTCTTGAGCTCTCTTTGTAGCACTGGGTGGTCTCAAAATCACAACAATCATCCTGCCTCAGCCTCCTGAGTGCTGGGGGTACAAGTGCACGCCAAAATGCCTGGCTAGTCTCTGCATTGTTTAAGATGCCATTAATATAGTAGGATCGTCCAATTATCTCCTGCAAGCTGCACAATTATGTGACAAACCATGTGACATCCCTATTTGGATTACTATAGGCCTGAGTAATCAAAACAGAATTCTCTGTTCTCATTTTCATTACATGCCCCAAACCTGCCCTCGTATAGACCTTATAAATGTCACCATCTATTTATTGCTCAGTTCAAAAACCTATCAATCCCTTCAACTCCCTTTCATTTCCCATTGCAAGTTACTCTCTTAATTGCTTATTTGTTTTCTAAAATTTCTCTTCAGCCTGTCTCCAATCTTCTTTGCTTCCAGCTTAATCCAAGCCTTCACCTCTCACCTGCTGTCCAATGATTATCTTCTAACATGTGCTACTTCATCTTGCTCACGCCTGTTCCTCCAATCTCTTCCCTTACTTTGGTCACCGTGGTCTTTGTAAAACAGAAGTTGATTTAATACTATATTCAAACTAACCAAACAGACTTTCCCCCATGGTGTCAGAGATCTGTCTCTTTCCCACCGCAGACCTCACTTCCTGTCTTAGACCTCACCTTCTGGATCACCATGCCTGTTTCATTCCTGTCTTATTTCAATATTTTAAACAATATGAGCTTATTTTAAACAATTGTATCCTTTGTCAGGACTTTTTGAATATACAGTATTATTCCATTTCTCTTGAACATTGCCTTCTTAGTGTGCTTTCATTCTTTTAGCTTACTTGTTACTTTTCAAAGAGGGCTTCTTTGATGATGCTATTCAAATAGATGCTCTTTATTATTCTTTCAGAATCACTTTACTTTTCTTCATAGTAGACATTATAATTTAAAACTCTTATATCCAGTGGTTTACTTTATTTTTTCTCTATCTCCAGAATCCAAGCAATATAAAGGGCCACATCTATTTACTTGGCCATCCTGTAATCCCAGCACCTTGGAAGTATCTAGAACATGAAGGATGTTCAATTAATAATTGCTGAATAAGTGAATCGCACAATCACACATCCATTCATGTAGTAGCCTTATGTTCGCTGAGACTATATCACACCCCAGGAACTACACCATGTACTCTGGTTGCAAAGGAGAATACAACATGTCCATCTTCTGTGAAGAGCCCTGTGGTGGAGGAGAGAACCACACCATAGATAAAGCTAAATGAGGTCACTTGTATATGTAATAGGATTGGCGTCCTTATAAGAAGAAAAGACTCCTTGGGAGTGTACACATATTAAGGAAAGGCCACATGGGAAGCAGTGAAAAAGCATTTACAAGTCCAGGAAAGGGGCTCGCCAGAAACCACACCTGTGAACACTTTGATCTTGAACTTCCATCCACCAAAACTTTGAGAAATAATTTTTTGTTATTTAACTACTCTGTGGTATTTCTTTTTTAAATTTTTAAATTGTATTTTTTATATTGTTTAATGTATTTTGGCACAGGGTCTCACTATGCAGCTCAGACTCATAGTGATCATCCTGTTTCATCCTCCCCAGCGCTTACTCCTGGAATCTGTCCTCCAGATATAGTCCCATTTCTCTATTCTCCATTATAGCAAAATCACTTCTACTTATA